GAAGGGAAGGGAAAAAATGAGGAGCTGATACCAAGGGCTCAAATAAAAAGCAAATGTTTTGAGAATGATGAGGGCAACAAATGTGCTTGACATAATGGATGGTTGTATGGATTGTGATAAGAGTTATATGAGCTCCAAATAAAATGATTCTTTTAAAAAAGAATAAAAATAAAGAGCCTCTAATAAACTAAATTTTTTCAAAAGATATCCAAAAAAATGTATGTGAACTATTGAAAGGAAAACAAATTTTCTTTGAAAATATTCACCTAATCAAAAAGTTTCAATAGTTTTAAAATAATATTCCAAGAGGCACACTCATTACTCACTAGCACCTGAGACAAATAGCTATTAACAGAAATTCTTTTCTTCACAGATGTAAAAATTCTTTACATGTGCTCCAAGAAGTGCAACATGTGGAAAAAGACAAAGGTTCCTTAGCATGTTCTTTACATTTTCAACTGATCATGGTTTGCATATCATTTGCTCTATGTAGAAAATCCGGTAGGGTCTCCCCAAGAAATGGAATCCACCCTCAAGGGGAGTGAGTTGAGTTGATGGTGAAAAGAGTTACGCAATTCAGTATTTCCAAATTTGTGTGTAAATCAACCCATGATGAAAGAGAACGGTCTCATTTAAAATCTACTAGCAATTAAACCCACAACTTATCCAGAAGTCAGTAACTTCTGTTGAATTCTTGGATATGCTGACAATAATCTGCCAAAATTGCTAGACGAAAGCTAAAAATTGTAGAGAAATCACCTTGCAATCAAATGGCTTTAATATACATTTAGAACATGGATCTGTTTCAACAAGTTTACAAATTATATTCTAGAGTCGATATGGATAAAACCCAAACCCACTGCCATCAAGTTAATTCTGACTCATAACAATCCTACAGAACTGAATAGAAGTATAACTTTTTATGGAAGATTTCTTCCTTCTCCTGAGAAGCCTCTGGTGGGTTTAAACTGTCACCGGGGCTCCTTAATATGGATAAAGTAACCCCCAAACATCATATGGTCAAGTCCCATTGAGTCAACTCAGACTCTTACTGGCCCTAAAGGACAGAATACAACTGCTCCCTGAAGTTTCAGAGACTGTATATCTGTATGGGAACACATTGTCTCATCTTTCTCCCATGGAGCAGCTGATGAATTTGAACCACCAATCTTGTGGTTATCAGCCCAACACTTCACCTACCACATCACCAGGGTGTTTACAACCAAGACAGAAAGGTATTGTGCCAACAGGAAATAAAAGCCTGTCTCCTACTCTACCATACCACTTAGCAGTAAAGCAAATTGAGTGACTTGTCATACGCAACACCCCACTACATGATGTATCGAGATCCAAATGGTTCCTTTAATTTTTACTAGAAATTACAAATCCCACAACAAAGACCAGCTTACCTGTCTTATAGGCTATTGTTAAGAATTTCCCAGGCTTTGGCTAAATCTTAAATCTGATGTCACCAAGACCACAATCGAGAGTTACCACAGATGTGATATAAATGTTGACCAAGAACTCATCTGCCAACAGTAGCACCAAACACCAGGCTAATGTGACACCAGCCCACTCTTCATTTATATAAACTATTATAATAACTCGATGACTTACTGTGTACTACGTCTGACCTAAGTACTTTATAAACGTCATATGATCCACATAACCAAGTTGTCAGTTAGCCCCAGTGTAGAGATGATAAAACTGAGACTCCAGAGAAGTTGCCTACCCCTAGAACACATCCAGGAAGTAGTCTAATCCAGATTTGGATTGCTCCCCCAAATCTATGCTCTTTCCTTTGTATAAGAGTGATCTCATTCTTTGCCTAGACTCTAATTGGAAAGTCCACAGTACAAGAGGGGAAATTGTGATCATAATTCATAATTGATCATTAAGGCTATAATAAATGTTGTCAGACACACTAAAACAGCCTGGTATTTTTTTTCACATTAGAACCAAGGAGAAATGATTGGAAAATAAATCTTCTTTCACTGAAGGTGACCAATTGAAGCAATTAACACCATGAAGAGTGAGACGTCACTATTTGAAAACTTAAAATTTTCAGTTCCCTCTTTAGGATGAAAAAGAATTTCCAACAAGGTTTCACAATATAGCAAGCTCTTGAAATGAGTGACCAAGGCCAAACACACAAAACAGCACCTTGGGCTTGTAGGGTCACACATTCTGCTGGTAGGACTGGGCACATTTAAAAAACAGAACTTCAAAGATCAAAGCTGTGATCCTGAGTAAGAAATGCCAGAGCTTCCAAAATGATATTCCAACCTTCAATCAATCACACAAGCAAATGGCTCCAATCCAACACAAGGAAGTCAAATTCACAGAAAACTGCCCAACTTCACCTTAAACAAGTGACTAAAGTTAGGGGAATCCCTATGACTTGACTCTGTCCTATTGTTAGTAAGCTTTTCAAAAAGGAAAAGATAAAAAGCTGGGAGAAATACTCCCAAATCCTCAAATTACTGAGACTCGTTTATCTTTGTGGTGAGATCTTGGAGCTTTAAATCTGCCACTTAACAGTTTAATTTCTATAAGCCTCCGTGTTTTCATCTGCAAAAATATGAATAAATCTTATCTCAAGAGTTGTTGCAAAGATCTTTCAGATAACAAAACCAGATTCCCGCCTTCCAAAATTCACTTTCTCAAAAAAATCTTTATTTCCTTGAAAGGAAGGATAATAAACAAAAAACAGACAACATTAAGGAATCAGATCTACTATGCTCTTTTCCTTAAAAGGCTAAAGTCATAGTACAACTTTCAACCCCAAAGACGATCCTTCAGATGACTCTGGGCCATAAAGATTCTAACTACTCATTACTTCTCCAGGTATTAAAATGGAAGTTTACCTTGACCTGAAACGTTAACAGGTGAAAATACTACGTACATCGCTTGAGTAGTTCCAACCCTACTAGCTTGACCTTCAAGAGAATGAGCACAAGAATGCCCTAAAACAAGACCAAACTGAATAATGGTTACACCTTCTTGAACTCAAGAACCATGAACATAGTCTGTTTTCTAGCTGTGACTTGCACACATCTTGGGGAGGAAAGGCTATTTAAGTCCGGAACTGAAACAAGTTGGCATTTCCCACTTGGCATATACAAGTTACATTGAATATTGGGATCAACTTCCCAGGAAGATAGCCAAATATTCACCCCCATTTTTTCTTCTGACAAATTGTCTCTATGTCTTCAATCTTTTCTCCTCCCTCTTTACAAGACTTGTGTTATAACCCAACTGCTTTGCCTGTTGTCAACAAAGAGTTGAAAGAGTTGATCCTGGTAGATTCCCAACTTTTGGTGATCCAAAGAGCAGTACTTGTTGGATTCCTATCACACACTTGAATAAACTGACTTGAAATAACAAACGTTTGAATTTAGAAATTTTTGATCCAGTAAGTGAAGATCAGATCCTTCTGGATTGCAACAAATATTTCACTGGTAGTTCTTCAATAGAACTCAAGATTCATGCTGTGATGTATCTCATTCCAGTGATACATCGAAAAGTTGGTTTTTTTTAAATCTGCAGAAAGGATTTCCATACCAAGTAATTCCTCACTGGTTACCTCTGTGGTACCTATGATACTTACGAATTTGTGTGCAGATATTCAAACGTTAGCTGAGCTCGGTTCAGACTGCTGTAGTTTGCGAAAGCCATGACTGCTGTGACTCCAATTCTTTACCCACTGGCTGAAAACTATTACGCGATAATGGAGTCGATCTCTCAAGACTTCTTTGCAGTAGATTTGCTACTCCTGTGGCTCCTCGGGAGTTAAACGAAGTTATCTAGTTTCAATCCAAAGTACAAGTGTTCAAAGCTTCCACTGATTTCTCGATATTTTATCTTCTCTGCAACAATGATGGAATACCTTGGGAAGAGTTACGTCATAAGCAAGTAGTCCTAAATTGTTCTCGGTGTTAAATGGCGGTACTTCTTCAATTCTGGTGAATACAATACGGGTGATCCTGAAGGAAATAGTGGTCGTAGGGTTTGCGGTTTATGATTTTTCTATCTTCATGTGGGTTGACTCTTAACTTTGCGTTGTTGCTCCCCTAAAAAGTCCTATACTATGGAATGTATCACTGAGAAATTCACTAATTCGGTATTCCCCAACTTCTGTCAAAGAATTGGCCAATTACCCATGTCTTCACCACCACTGATTTCGGGGTCCTTCAAAATGCCCTAGAATGGCCAAACACGACGACAGAGTTGCTTCGCCCCCTCTCAGAAGAAAGGCCTGTGAAGCGCAGCCAGCTGATGTTTTTGTCAAGCCTGGCCCACCCCCAGCTGGTGGTCCCACCGGAATCTCTTCAGGGCCTCGGGTCAAATTCCCTCCCCCAGGCCCAGTCCACAGCCGGAGTCCACCCACCCAAAGCACCGCCGCCTGGGCGCGCCCCTCCCCCGCTCGCTCGCAGTGGCTTGAGCCCCCCTCAGCCCTTCTGAGGCGACTCGTCTCCGTGGCCTCCTCCTTCCGCAAAGAGGTCAGTCCACGCCGAAGGCCAGCAGGCAAGGCGGTGCGGAGGGCCGCACTAGGCCGGGCGTTGTCGGGGCGCTTGCAGCTGCCTTTGTCCCTCCCCGCGGAATGGGAACCCAACAACCGCAGCGCGCGCTTGGAACCATGTGCCGCCGCCGCTCCGCCTCTGCCGCCGCCGCGCGCCGCGCTGGAAGGGGTGGTGACAGAACACGGCGGGAAAGGTTCTTCTGCGGTTCCGAAGGTTCTGCTGCCGTCGCCGCCACAATCGCCACAGCCGCCAGCAGCACCGCCACGGCTTTGTCTCCGCTAAGGCTCAGCCCAGGCCGCCTCGCGCACTCCCCGACGCCCAAGCCCCTGAGGCCTCCGCTGCTCAAGCGGCCAATCAGCGAGCCGCAGCTCCTCCCGCCCCCGCCTCGACAGGCTGCCTCCTAATTGGCGGGCCGCTCGCTCCCACCTGACCGGATCTGGACGGCCAAGCCCGCCCCTGTCACGTGAAAACTGGCCCCGGTCTTCCTGCTTTCCGGACCCTCTCCGCCATTTAAAGGAACAGTACCGGGGGCGGGCCGTGCGACGCAGCCGGGACGGTAGCTGCGGCGCGGGCCGGAGGAGCCATCTTGTCTCTTCGCCGGGGAGCCAGGCCCCCGAACTCGAAGAAGCCCTGGCGCGCCCTCCCCCCCTCCCCGGTCTGGTAGGGCGAAGGAGCGGGCGCGCGGTCGA